TAGTAGTAGTAGTAGTAGTAGTATTAATAGTGGTGAAAGTTATAGTAATACTAGTAGTAGTAGTTATGATACCATTATTAGCAGTAGTAATATTAGTTGTGGTATTATTATTATTAGTAGAGTTTGGCTATTAGTGGGAGTAGTGGTAGTAGTAGTAGTAATAGTAGAAGTACCAGTATTAGTGTTACTGGTAGTAGTCCTCGTAGTAATAGTAGTAGTAATTATACTAATAGTAATACACGCAGTCAGAGGCCAACATTCCGACGTCACTGAGATGCTTTGTGTTAAAGATGACTACTAAGTATTATGGCGAAACTCAGCTATATACTCTACTCTAGGCAAAATCGCATTTCAGAATTTCGGTTTATGTTCCATGGATGACCGTTCTCTCTTCAGAGCAAACTGTATGGTGCCTCCTTTGAGGGTAGCTGATATCTTCTTTGAGATTTTGAATACGTCACATGAATCAGCGTTGGGCAGAGCTGGTACGCATTTCGGGGTCTATGGCCTACATAGGATTTATTCTGCACACAATAGGGTCCCTTACAAATATGACATTTCTCATTGATTCCAACAGTAATTCTCAAAGGTTACCACAAATTCTCAAACCCTTATCTAACAGACAACGTATATGACTACAAGCATACTATTTCCTTGATTTCCATGAACCGTTTATTTACAATAAGTTGGTCCAGGCAAAAATTTCCTAGTGGAAATGCAGGTGAACGTGTTGTACACTGCTTTTTCGCGAACGCCTCACCTTTTCTTTTTCATGAATATTGTTATGCACTTTTGCTCATACCTAAGCGACTTGTAACAATTATTTTGCATCTTCACCACTTTTTATGCATGCCTGTACCGTTTCAATGGGGAGTTTTAAGCGGCTTCGATGATTTATTCCAAATACACTGACTATTGACACTGGCTTGGCATTGCTTATTTAAATATGCCCATTTGCGTTCCCGCGATACGCCGAGCGTGTGTGACGCGTTTTCTATAGGCTGCATCTATTCACTACTGTTAGCATCATTATTATCTGTTTAGGTTTGAGAAAATGCCATCGTTGCCTTTATCATGTACTCTGCCTTATCTGCTGCTGCTGTTGTAGAAGCTGGCGATGGGCCTATCTATCCTTCCGTTTCTGGATCGGCATGTGGACTGCCCTCCTCCTGCTCATCATGGTGGCCTTTGATCTCTCCGCGCTGGTTCGTTTCATCACACGCTTCACTGAGGAGTCTTTTGCCCTGCTGATCGCTCTCATCTTTATTGTTGAAGCCTTCCAGAAGACTTACGCCATCTCCAAGGTCTACCCCGTGAACCTGTACGTTGCTGTGTGATGAGGGCGCTTATTTTTTCTTTTCTTTTCTTTCGGGGTGCTTGCCTCTTTTACGCCATCAGGAGGTTTCGGCCGTCCTACCAGAAAGCTCACCGCTGTTGTCCTGGGGATTACAAACGTGTAACCCCTCATAGTGTCGTCCCTTCGGTCGTGCCGATTGGGGTAGGGGAAGGGGGCAGGCAGCTATGCGACGCACGCGTGGCTCTACTTCCAATCAGTTGCTTTGCCCGATTTCCGGTCGACTTGAGTCAAGCCTCCCATCGACGGCAGCAAGGGAGTGAGACCGTTTCTTACCCGTTTTTAGACCCGGGATACGCTGACTCGGGTAACTTGAAAGGTTGCTTGGTGGACTGAAGTTCAGGCCGCAATAAGGTCCCGGTGAGGGGACTTTGTAACAGCTTAACGTGCCGAGGATGTCGAGGTTGGTACACAAACACACACACGGGCGGATAAGAGACCTGACGACGTTTAAGTCGGCTAGAGCACTGAACAGAGCTACTAGTCGCCAGACCGAACAGATGAACGGAAAATATCATGCTAAAAGATCTAAGAAATGGGCAGGAACTATT